CCGCCGCTCCCGCGGGGGGGCGTCACCCCCTCGGCGTGATGTGGCGGCGCGTGATGCATCACATGGGTGCCCTCGCCCGATCAGGATTTGAAGATCTGCCACATCGGGGAAGCCGGGACAGGGACACGGGGGGGGCCCCGGGTGGAAAAAGAGAAATGGGAGGAATAACAGACCCATTATTATGGCATCTGCCAGCCGGCGAGAAGGAGGCGCAGACCAAGGGCCGCGCATCTGCAGACCGAGCGCGCCAGGCCAAGGACGCGCAACAAACATGGTCTCGACCCGCCGCCCATGGAGGGTGATGGACCACCACTAGCGGGACGCGCCTTGTGCCTAGCGGCCGGGTGTGGCATGGTTGTCTTCCAATCGGCCATCGGCGGTGTGTATGTCCAGTGTGTATGTCCAGTGTGTATGTCCAGTGTGTATGCGTCCCACATTTGGGTGGCCAGACTGGATTGCACCCTCCTCCCGACCGCCGCACCCCCCTCCCCTCTCGCCTCTCGCTTCTGCCCTTAACTCACGCCTCCCCCCTCTCTCCGTTCGACTTGCGCCCGGGGGCCACGAACACTTGCGCATCTAGACACACACACACACACATAGACCACACCTCTTCCTCCTCCTCCTCCCCCCCCCCCTCCTCCTCTCTTGTGACACATGTATGTGCACCTGGCCGTGTCCGGCCAGTCGGCGCCGGCCGCTCCTCCCACCCGCTCCCCTCACCGCCGGCACCAGCCACTGACATCCCCCGGCCCCCTCCCTTTGTGTGCAGGTCTTCGCCGCCGGTGGGCGACGGCCAGTCATCGCTGGCCAGCCAGCGTGCGTCGGCCGCTGTGTCCGGCGCCTACAGGGCCGTGGTCGGCTGGCTGCCGCCCTCCATCCAACGGAACATCCCGCCGGAGCTTCCCCTGCTTGATCCCTCGGGCCCCTCGTCCCCGGGCCCCGACTCGGATGTGGACATGGGCTTCGGGGGCCATGGGCGATCGGGGTCGCGCGCTGGCCGGGCCCCGCAGCCCGGCGACCCGACCACCGCCCACTGGATTGACGAGTCCCTGACCCTGGGCCGGTGCCTGGGCTGCGCGCGGAAGCTCACCCTCGGGGTGAATCTCGGACGCGTGGGCATGGGCGTCGGCCGCCACCATTGCCGACAGTACGCGCACATGCACACATGCCCCCTCCCCTGCACCCCCTGGTGGCCTTCCCTCCCCCCCCGCTGACACCGTTACCTCCATGTGCCCCGGGCATTGGCAGCTGTGGCGGTGTCTTCTGCGCTGCCTGCTCGGACTATGCGCTGCCTCTGAATGAGGAGGGGCATATGCTGCCGAGCAGCGAGTCCTTCGCACAGCCGGGCCGGCGCCTGCACCGGGCCTGCTACGATTGCTCGCGCAAGCACCATGAGCTGCTTCGGTCGGGCGGAACCGGGCGCGGCGAGTCCGGCACCGACTCGCCGGTGACGGGCTCCCCCTCGGGCCTCGCGTCCCCCCGAAGCGTGGGCCTCATCGTCGAAGATGCCGAGGATGCCGAGCCGCCACCTGTGCGCAAGCTGACGGCGGCCTTCAAGAAATCCCGCAAAACCTACCAGGACCAGCTGAAGTTGGACGCGGCGCGGGCGCTCACCCGGGCCGAGCGCGCCGCCCAGCATGTTGTCCAACATGGAGGTTCGTTGGGAACCCCTGTCGCCAGATGACCATCGGGCGGCCACCTGCCCGCCCTTCCTGCCTATCTCTCTCTCTCTCTCTCTCCCTTCCCCTTGCCTCTGAGAGCTGTGACCCATCCTCTCACAAGTGTGTGTGCGTGTGGGCCGGGGCGATCGATCGTGCGATATTGACATGCTGGTGCGCGCCATGGGCAGGTGCCTTTCCGCCGATCCCCTCCCTTCTCTCCGGGCCCGGGCCCTTCCCATGCTCGAATTGCTCGACCCCCCTGCGCCTGCCGGCCGAGCATCCACACTCTCGGTCGGCCGCCTCGAGCGCCGCCTCGCAGCTGGAACGCGCGTCCACCTCCTTCCTGAGGTTTATGTCCATGTCGATCACCGGCAGTGGCGGCGGCGGCGGCGGCGGCGGGGGGGACAATCCGTCGGCCGAGGGCGCCGCGGCCCCGAACCCGGGTGCTGACCCCCTGCCCGAGGCGGCCGTCGGCGAGTGTTGCTGGCTCTGCGGGGCGGTCTCCTGCGGCGATGCGGTGGAAGCGGCCCAGGAGCCGGGTGCCGCCTCGGGGGAGGGAAATGCCCCGTCCGGGCCCCGGGGCGCGGTGCTTGTCCGCTCGCGCTGCCACACGGTGGCCTCCATCTCCTGCCTGGAGTCGGCCACCCCCCAGAGCGGCCCGGGTGGCATCCCCCTCCGGCCGGGGGCCGTGCTGAATGAGGTGTTCAATGAGCACGGGGCCCCGGTGCCGGCGCCCCAGCGGGCCTGCCTGAAGATGTGCACCCCCTGCCGGGACCTGATCATGATCCATGTAATCGGCCTGCGGAAGGCGGAGAATTTGCGCGCCCGGCGCATCGGCGCAGACCCGGCCACGGCCTCGGCCCCGGCCGCCGACAGTGCCACCCGGGTGGAGCTCTTCGTTCCCAGCTGGGACGGTCGCCGGTCGCCCGAGGTGTCGGTGTACCTGGTACGCGGGTGGTCTCGGCATGGACGCCGACATGCGTGCTCTTTCTCTCCTCCTGCCGCCTGCGACCGCTCTCCCGGAGCCCCTGCCGGCGTGCGCTGACACGACCTCCCTCCCCCCCCCCTCCCCCCCTGCAACTGTGGCAGCGTCTGCGCGCCTTGCGCCTGCAACTGGAGCGCGACAGTGCCATATACAATGACATGGTGAATCGGCTGTTTGGACCGGACCCGGTGGAGAAGGATCCGGAGTCGGAATTCGCCTCCCTGCCGCCGGCGGCCCAGCGTGCTCGGCTGTATGACCGGGCCCAGGAACTTCGGGCCAAATTGGCCGAGAGCTATTTGCGTCTGGACGCCACGGCGTACGTGTGCCATGCGGCCTCCTCTCGCTTGCGGCATTTGATCCTTTTTTTTTCTCTTTCCCCTCCGCCCATGCCCATATGCTCTGCTTGAAAAGGAAGCGGAGGGGAGGGGGGGGAGGGGCGGCGCTGTGCGGCCACTGACGACATGCACCCTGCCGGGGTGGGGGGGCGGTTGATTGGATGGCGTGCAGAAAAAAGCTTCGGGAAGCCCCGCTGGAGACCGTCAGCCCGACGCTGGCCGTTGTCCATGCGAATATGATCCGCGCCACTGGGCTCTACGTGCAGGAGAACATGATCCCGATGAGGTCGATCCCGCCGTCGCTCCGCCGCATGGCCGGGGAGCCGGGCGACACGGCGGGCCCCGGGGCCCCGGGCGGTGGCCCTGGCCAGGCGCCTGCCGCGGCGCCGGTTCTCGGCGCCTCGACCCGACGGTGGGTGCTGCTTCTGCCGTCGGACGCCCCGCCGGCCGGGGCCCGGGAAATGGACACCCTGCCCGGGGTGCTGACCAACGGGGTGGATATCTTCATCCGGGTGCCGGCCACGCTGGAGGGGGAGGCCCTCTTCGAGAAGCGGGAGGTCTTTGTGCAGCAGATCCTCAAGGTGGATGGCTGGCTTCGTGAGCGCCGGGCCGCGCTGTCGCTGTCGTCTGGCGGCGGTGGTGGTGGTGGGGCCGGCGGCCCGGAGGGGGGCGACTCCCCCGGCGGGAGCGGCGCCCTAACCTGGGAACGCAGCGAGGAGGAGATGTCCTTGCTGAAGGCCAAGCTGGCGCTGGTGGCCGAGATTGCTCGGCACCATGCTCAACTCCGGGCGCTGGCGCTGCGGGAGGTCTTGGCCGACGCCCCGCCGGGCGAGGCTGGCTCCGGTGGTCTGTCGCGTCTGCGTACGCGCTCCCGGCGCGGCTAGCCCCGGGCGCTCGTGCGTGCGTGCGTGTGTGCGGCCGTCCCCCCTTGTTTCTTGCGAAATACACGTACATGTGGATGGCCGTCGGCCGGTCTGTCGGTGTGAGCATCTCGCCTCGTCGCATCAAGCTACGACCCGGCAAGCAGGGGCCGAAAGCAGTCCGCCCTGACCGCACGCCCAACAGGCGGGCTGGACCCCGAAAAAAAAAAAGCATAGAAGCGAGATGGACATTCACAAAACACGGGTGTACATTCGGTCAGAATCGAAGAGCAGGGCAGGCCCGATCCTCGGCAGCCCCCCGAGAGAAGGGCGGACCCCGGGAGAGGGAGGCCACCCTGCATGTCACTCGTGCAGATCCCCCCCCCCCCCCTCCCGGGAGATGGTAGTAAAGGAGGGAGAGGGTAACGGAAGGGGGTGCCACCGATGGAGCGGGAGTGGCGGGCCCTCCGGAGGTGGTGGCGGCGAGGAAATGAGGCCCCACAGGACGGGGCCGCTGGATATGGGGGGCCGCAGAGGGCCAACGGACCAGCGCCGCTGAGCCAGAACGGGGCAGAGGGGGGAGCGCCGACAGGCCCGACGG